TTTTCAATTTCAATCAAATATGTTAAAATATTACAAAATATTTAAATTAAATATGTTGCATAGTAAATAGTATTATATTTTTATATTTCTCTTAAATATTTTCATATTTAGTTCCAGTAATTAGAATACTTAATTTAAATGGTTTTTATAGTTTAAATAATAATAGCCCGCCTTAAAACTCAGCATATTTTTAATTGGATTAAATAATTCTCATATTTAAAACAGACTGAGATGAACTTTACTATATATACAAATTTTATTTAAATTAAATATAATCCCCGTTAAAATAACTGTACTTTATGTTTGATTTAAATAAAGTATTCAAACCATACTATTATGGTGCATATTCAATTTAAACCGATCTGTAGTTTAAAACAAGCGTGATTTATATTTGATAAATAAGTATGCAATGTGTTTTTATTGAAAATAAACTTAAACATATAATCAAAACAATTGTTCTGCTTACATTCATTGTTTTTACCATGCTAGCACGGTATCATTACTTTTGCTTTAAATCAGTGGTCGGCAGCGGCCTATCTAGTGAGCATAGGGAAGTGTTCTGCCCATCCTCTGCTCGCTCACGTATAACGTACATGTTTGTGTGACTTCGGCATGGGTCTTCGGGTCATTTTTTTCTCAACTTCGGCGCGGCAGAGGATCTCAGTGCAAAGCAGAGAAGCGTCTCGCTTCAGCACGCCGTGCGCAACCCTGCAAGCATTTTCTATCGCGGAAGGCTCTATTAAGTGACTTCAAGAAGATGAAAACGATCGTCCGCGATATCGCATTCGGATCGCGGAAGTGACTCCCGTCGGGAAGAAATGTGCCATAGCCTGTGTTTCTGTATTTACAAAGTCGGACATACCCATCGGGTATGGGTACAATTTTGAATATATTGGGTCTTCATTCTCCGTCCGGATAGTACCAATTAAATCAGTGTTGTAAGGCAGCGCCTCATTCGGCTCTGCAAATACATCCGTGCGGTTTTCTAACATTGACTGGAATTTTTCCACAATTTCGTGAGGTACCTCGATGTCATCAACTTTTGTAAAATTAACGTTTTGACATTTCAAAATCTTAATTGCTTCAGAATTGCTTTTAGTTATTAACTTTCTATATTTTAGGTCAAGTACGACGTCGGTTTTTTTTAACAAGTCCAGGCTAATTATTCCGTCAAACGTGTTTAAGTTCGGTAATAAGAAGAATGTTGTAGTTGTGTTAAATAGGTTTAAGATGCATTTTTTGTTTACAGTGTTGTACCCATGGATTGATTTTACAAAAAAAGGGTTGTTTACGAAAACAACGTTTTTTAACTCTTTCATAGGTTTGATATAACTTTTGGAAGCCCCCGTGTTTATCAAAAGTTTGATTTTTCTCCCTGTGACATCCCTTTCTATGAACGGGAGCAGGGAGTCATGCCTAAAAAATGTATTTCGTCATATTCTACGAGGTCATCATATATGTCTTCTACTTCCTCTTCGGCTACTGTAGGGTACTCGTCATTGTTTTTGTTACATTGGTCATTGTTTAAGGGCAAATGGCTTATTCTTTGCTGTTTCGGCCCCGTGTACCTCGCGCTACTATTAGTGGGTCTTTTATGTGCCAGTCCATGGCTACTGTAAGCGTTGCGTTGAATATTTTGTTGATTGGTCTGCCGCTGATTGTTTTGGGTTTGTCTATGAAACGGACTACTTTTTTGATTCTGAGTTGCTTGTCTAAAACGAGATGAACTATCGACGTCATTGGCTGGACTGGATCCTGTCTGAGCGGCTTTGTTGGTTTTTTTTATTAAAATGGGGGTTACCCTCCAGGTTAGATCTAGAATCTGTTATTGTATTTCTTTCTCTGTCCTGTTGTCTCTGTTCGGACCTTTGGAGTTTTTCTCCGTGCTACGCGCAAAATTACTTGCGAACATATATCGCTCGTGATTGGCCTCTACTTCTTGTGCTAAAGCTAAAGAACATCGCTTAACGATTTTTTTGTGCTCTATATTTTTCGATCATTGACGCTGCTACGGTATTCTCGTAGGTCATAATTGTCTTGTTTATTAAAAGAGTCAGTTTTTTCTCCACTTCGTCATAGTATTGCAAGAGAGTCATGTTTCCTTGGCGAAGCGTTGACATCTCCTGTTCTACTAAGTATACGGGTCACTTGTCTGCGTATGTAAAATCTAGTCGGTTTATTATGGCTTTAAAGTTCAGAGGTGTGTCGAAAGACGAAAGAACCATATCGGCTGAGCCTTTTATTTTATTTCTTAATATTCCTAGTGCCTGATAGTGTTTGGAACTACCGCCGTACTTTTCGTACACTTTATATGCTTTGTGCTCCGCCTTTCTCCATGAGACGTACGTCTTATTTTTACCCTCAAAGTCCGGCAGGGACTTCATAATATCTAGGGTCTCACTACACGAAACACTTATTATGATTTCAGCATCCCTCTATGTTTCTACTTCTGGTGTGCTGATATTTACACCACCTAAGCGCTTTTGAACGTCAAGTAATTTTTGTTCAAAACTTCTTTCCTGCAAGGCGAGGGCGCTTGCAACTGCGCCTTCTACAATGGCTTTTAACTGCTCGTTGGTCATTTGAATTGTTTGGATTTTCCTGCAAATCTTCCGCGCTTCTGAGTTTTCGGAATTCGTTTAACAAGTCTTATATTTCACTATCACTCATATATTTTTTTTAACAAAAAGAACAAAGAATTTTTGTTTCTTTTGTATTTAATTTCTTTCTCAAAAATGTTATGAAATTTTGTCTGAACTTGCGCTGCTTTATTTTTTTTGTCTGAGACTCTTGGAATGAGTTATAAAAATTATTGTTTTATTTTTCAAATTCGTAATCCCTTTTTTTTAATATTTTGGGTCGCATAAGTCGGAGAAAAATATCAATGAACACTCCACTTACATGGTCTGAATTTTATTTTTTTTTTAATTAAAATGTTGTTGCCGCTGCTGGTGCTCGTTGTAGTTTCCTTCCTCCTGATCTTTCTCATGTTGTTGCTGCCAGTTCCTGGTATGACGACGTTGACGTATTTAATTATGTTGTTAATGCTGCTGCTGCTGTTGGTTCTGATTTTTTTTATTACATTTTTTTTTATTATTATTTTTGTTAACTGTTCGAGGGTCTTTGCTAAGTACATCAATTCTTAAAATGTAAGCTAGCCCTATGCTCTGAAACTGCTGACCCGGCGCCTCGTGCATTGAGTTGGGCAGCCGCTGCTTCCGTCGCACTGCATTGCCCGCTGATTGTGCTGACCATAGCACCGTCGTTGTGCAATGTCCGCAGGTGGCGCTGGCCTTGCATTATTCCCGTCTGGTTATGTGGGATTAGCCTGGGAACTTTCTTGTTGCTGGGTGACCGTGTGAACTTATATACGAAATATTTTGGCACTCCTCTTTGTAGCGAACCCCGCGATCACTTCGAAGTAAGCGGTTCTCCTGATCGGGTGTAAAAGTGTTTAATAGATTTTGATAGACAAGTGTTCATTTAAGTGTATGAAAAAGTGAAAAGTACAGCAAAATGGCGAGTCAAATAAAAATACAATATTTACTTAATATTAAGGCATGCTAATGTCCACGTTTTTTTTGGCGCATTTTTGCTTTTTGTGTTTCTTCTTTGTTGTGCGCGTTATTATTTCGTGATAATTTAGATAATGTATCATTTAATATATAAGGGTGGGTAAGTAAACATTAAAAATATGCGAAAGAAGTGAAAAATATGAAAGGAAATTAAATCAAAACCCGCGCAAACTTGATAGTAGAAGTAGAGTGCACGAGAAGGAAAACACTAAAGAGACGCTAAAAAGACGCTTTGCTGCCGTTTCACCTACTTCTATATTATATTTTTTTTGTTCTTTCACGTGATTTTTCTCATTTTCGATATTATTGAAAGTTTTTTACGTATACTATTCGGTAAGTGGTAAACACGTGTGTCGGGATTTGGCCGAAATTAATAAATCGAACTAATTTTTAATGTCTTAAAAACAAAAAACAAAATAAATTAAAAAAATATTTTGGTCCTATTTAAATCCCTTTATATAAAAAAATCTACTTAAAACTTATTATAAAACTACTTAACTATTTCTTTATAGATACAAATTTTTTTCAACATATTGTACCCTAAGAAAGAAGCAATTTTATCTAGTAAATGGGACCCATTTAAGGAAAAGGTTTTTTGCTTTTACGAAGAGCAAATACAAATCAAAGAGCGTCTTAAACTATTAAAGACAGTTCAGAAAACTGTATCAATCGGTAATATATATATTTTTTAAATTCAAACTAAAATTTTTGAAGGTTTCATTTTAGCTTCTTATGATAAGCTTGACTTTTTCTAAATTATGCCTTTACCAAAAATCTAAGAATATATTCTTATTCACAGATTCCGAGGACTACATTTACACTGTATTGCTTACATCTGTCGTCTCAAATAATTCGTGGGCCGTCATTAAAGGAACCAACACATGCAGGCGTACGAATGTGGTAAAACACAAAAATGTTTGATTATAAAAATCATTGAAGACTACTAGTACAAATGTATACGTTAAGTACCCTGCAAGCAAAAGGGCGAAATTTCTATCGCCTGTCGTCCAGGAGTTAGAAAGACGATAGTACACATTTTACAAAAACGAAATATACACGTGTCGCGTAGAAGTCACTTCTAAGTCACTTCTGAACGATAGAAAGGCGATAGTACACATTTTACAAAAACACTTCCAGAAGTAATGCAGAAGTGACTTCGAGAAGTGTCGCCGAAGTGACTCCGAGAAGTGCCGCCGAAGTGGCACATTTCTTCCCGACGGGAGTCACTTCCGCGATCCGAATGCGATATCGCCGAAGTAACTTCTGGAAGTGTCGCCGAAGTCACTCATAGAAGTGCCGCCGAAGTGGCACATTTCTTCCCGACGGGAGTCACTTCCGCGATCCGATTGCGATAGAAGACATCTAGAAGAGTCTTTCCCAATTTGAAAAACTTGAATAAAAACATAGTTTTTTATACTTTCGATATTTTGCATTTATTTTGTGTATAAGGGCTTTGTCCGCTTGTATACACGGTCACTGGCATGTAGGAAATTTTGCTGATCAATGTTATTTAGGTCCAGCTCCGTCGACATAAGAAATTTATTAATAACCATTTCTAAAGGAAACAGAAACAAAAATTATTTTTTGTTCAGTCAAGGTAAAAATAAACTAGAAGACATTACCTTTTACAATGAAGTATGTTGAGAATCGTTGGATCCGCAGTTACACGCCAAGTAATTTCCACAGCTAGCTTGTCCGTAAATAGCTTTAAATAATCGTACAGCTCACGATAAGCACGTAATTTTGCACCCTTTGTTGAGGGGGTTATTTAAATATGTTAAGCAATCAATAACATTTAGAAAAAACAAAGCAATATTTTAAAAACGCACAAAATTGATACAAAACCGCACTGTACACAGACAAATTGCGCAACGAAATGACGCTCGGGCGAAAAATAATAGCGTGGGTCAAAAGAAAGACCAAAAAATTTTCAGAAAAAAAGGGGTAACGGAAAATTACCGCGACCTCTTTTTATGGCTTGTTTTTTTCCACTAATTTTGTTTTTGTAAAATGTGTACTATCGTCTTTCTATCGTTCAGAAGTGACTTAGAAGTGACTTCTACGCGTAATATGTATATTTTGTTTTTGTAAAATGTGTTCTTTCGCCGTTTTATCGCGCAGAAGTGTCTCAGAAGTTACTTCTTCTCCATCGCGACCCTTTTTGTTTTTGTAAAATGTGTACTATCGCCTTTCTATCGTTCAGAAGTGACTTAGAAGTGACTTCTACGCGACACGTGTATATTTCGTTTTTGTAAAATGTGTGCTATCGTCTTTCTAACTCCTGGACGACAGGCGATAGAAATTTCGCCCTTTTGCTTGCAGGGTACTTAACGTATACATTTGTACTAGTAGTCTTCAATGATTTTTATAATCAAACATTTTTGTGTTTTGCCACATTCGTACGCCTGCATGTGTTGGTTCCTTTAATGACGGCCCACGAATTATTTGAGACGAAAGATGTAAGCAATACAGTGTAAATGTATTGTAGTCCTCGGAATCTGTGAATAAGAATATGTTCTTAGATTTTTGGTAAAGGCATAATTTAGAAAAAGTCAAGCTTATCATAAGAAGCTAAAATGAAACCTTCAAAAATTTTAGTTTGAATTTAAAAAATATATATATTACCGATTGATACAGTTTTCTGAACTGTCTTTAATAGTTTAAGACGCTCTTTGATTTGTATTTGCTCTTCGTAAAAGCAAAAAACCTTTTCCTTAAATGGGTCCCATTTACTAGATAAAATTGCTTCTTTCTTAGGGTACAATATGTTGAAAAAAATTTGTATCTATAAAGAAATAGTTAAGTAGTTTTATAATAAGTTTTAAGTAGATTTTGTTATATAAAGGGATTTAAATAGGACCAAAATATTTTTTTAATTTATTTTGTTTTTTGTTTTTAAGACATTAAAAATTAGTTCGATTTATTAATTTCGGCCAAATCCCGATACACGTGTTTACCACTTACCGAATAGTATACGTAAAAAAACTTTCAATAATATCGAAAATGAGAAAAATCACGTGAAAGAACAAAAAAAATATAATATAGAAGTAGGTGAAACGGCAGCAAAGCGTCTTTTTAGCGTCTCTTTAGTGTTTTCCTTCTCGTGCACTATACTTCTATTATCCAGTTTGCGCGGGTTTTGATTTAATTTCCTTTCATATTTTTCACTTCTTTCGCATATTTTTAATGTTTACTTACCCACCCTTATATATTAAATGATACATTATCTAAATTATCACGAAATAATAACGCGCACAACAAAGAAGAAACACATAAAGCAAAAATGCGACAAAAAAAACGTGGACATTAGCATGCCTTAATATTAAGTAAATATTGTATTTTTATTTGACTCGCCATTTTGCTGTACTTTTCACTTTTTCATACACTTAAATGAACACTTGTCTATCAAAATCTATTAAACACTTTTACACCCGATCAGGAGAACCGCTTACTTCAAAGTGATCGCGGGGTTCGCTACAAAGAGGAGTGTCAAAATATTTCGTATATAAGTTAACACGGTCACCCAGCAACAAGAAAGTTCCCAGGCTAATCCCACATAACCAGACGGGAATAATGCAAGGCCAGCGCCACCTGCGGACATTGCACAACGACGGTGCTATGGTCAGCACAATCAGCGGGCAATGCACTGCGACGGAAGCAGCGGCTGCCCAACTCAATGCACGAGGCGCCGGGTCAGCAGTTTCAGAGCATAGGGCTAGCTTACATTTTAAGAATTGATGTACTTAGCAAAGACCCTCGAACAGTTAGCAAAAATAATAATAAAAAAAAATGTAATAAATAAAAACAGAACCAACAGCAGCAGCAGCATTAACAACATAATTAAATACGTCAACGTCGTCATACCAGGAACTGGCAGCAACAACATGAGAAAGATCAGGAGGAAGGAAACTACAACGAGCACCAGCAGCGGCAACAACATTTTAATTTAAAAAAATTAAAATTCAGACCATGTAAGTGGAGTGTTTATTGATATTTTTCTCCGACTTATGCGACCCAAAATATTAAAAAAAAGGGATTACGAATTTGAAAAATAAAACAATAATTTTTATAACTTATTCCAAGAGTCTCAGACAAAAAAAATAAAGCAGCGCAAGTTCAGACAAAATTTCATAACATTTTTGAGAAAGAAATTAAATACAAAAGGAACAAAAATTCTTTGTTCTTTTTGTTAAAGAAAATATATGAGTGATAGTGAAATATAAGACTTGTTAAACGAATTCCGAAAACTCAGAAGCGCGGAAGATTTGCAGGAAAATCCAAACAATTCAAATGACCAACGAGCAGTTAAAAGCCATTGTAGAAGGCGCAGTTGCAAGTGCCCTCGCCTTGCAGGAAAGAAGTTTTGAACAAAAAATACTTGACGTTCAAAAGCGCTTAGGTGGTGTAAATATCAGCACACCAGAAGTAGAAACATAGAGGGATGCTGAAATCATAATAAGTGTTTCGTGTAGTGAGACCTTAGATATTATGAAGTCTCTGCCGGACTTTGAGGGTAAAAATAAGACTTACGTCTCATGGAGAAAGGCGGAGCACAAAGCATATAAAGTGTACGAAAAGTACGGCGGTAGTTCCAAACACTATCAGGTACTAGGAATATTAAGAAATAAAATAAAAGGCTCAGCCGATATGGTTCTTTCGTCTTTCGACACACCTCTGAACTTTAAAGCCATAATAAACCGACTAGATTTTACATACGCAGACAAATGACCCGTATACTTAGTAGAACAGGAGATGTCAACGCTTCGCCAAGGAAACATGACTCTCTTGCAATACTATGACGAAGTGGAGAAAAAACTGACTCTTTTAATAAACAAGACAATTATGACCTACGAGAATACCGTAGCAGCGTCAATGATCGAAAAATATAGAGCAGATGCGCTTCTCGTATTTATTTCAGGAACAAAAAAATCGCTAAGCGATGTTCTTTAGCTTTAGCACAAGATGTGACTTCGGCGACACTTCCAGAAGTAACGCAGAAGTGACTTCGAGAAGTGTCGCCGAAGTGACTCCGAGAAGTGCCGCCGAAGTGGCACATTTCTTCCCGACGGGAGTCACTTCCGCGATCCGAATGCGATATCGCCGAAGTAACTTCTGGAAGTGTCGCCGAAGTCACTCATAGAAGTGCCGCCGAAGTGGCACATTTCTTCCCGACGGGAGTCACTTCCGCGATCCGATTGCGATAGAAGACATCTAGAAGAGTCTTTCCCAATTTGAAAAACTTGAATAAAAACATAGTTTTTTATACTTTCGATATTTTGCATTTATTTTGTGTATAAGGGCTTTGTCCGCTTGTATACACGGTCACTGGCATGTAGGAAATTTTGCTGATCAATGTTATTTAGGTCCAGCTCCGTCGACATAAGAAATTTATTAATAACCATTTCTAAAGGAAACAGAAACAAAAATTATTTTTTGTTCAGTCAAGGTAAAAATAAACTAGAAGACATTACCTTTTACAATGAAGTATGTTGAGAATCGTTGGATCCGCAGTTACACGCCAAGTAATTTCCACAGCTAGCTTGTCCGTAAATAGCTTTAAATAATCGTACAGCTCACGATAAGCACGTAATTTCGCACCCTTTGTTGAGGGGGTTATTTAAATATGTTAAGCAATCAATAACATTTAGAAAAAACAAAGCAATATTTTTAAAACGCACAAAATTGATACAAAACCGCACTGTACACAGACAAATTGCACAACGCAATGACGCTCGGGCGAAAAATAATAGTGTGGGTCAAAAGAAAGACCAAAAAATTTTCAGAAAAAAAGGGGTAACGGAAAATTACCGCGACCTCTTTTTATGGCTTGTTTTTTTCCACTAATTTTGTTTTTGTAAAATGTGTACTATCGTCTTTGTATCGCGCCGAAGTGTCTCAGAAGTTACTTCTTCGCGATCCCGACCCTTTTAGTTTTTGTAAAATGTGTACTATCGCCTTTCTATCGTTCAGAAGTGACTTAGAAGTGACTTCTATGCGTAATATGTATATTTTGTTTTTGTAAAATGTGTTCTATCGCCGTTTTATCGCGCAGAAGTGTCTCAGAAGTTACTTCTTCTCCATCGCGACCCTTTTTGTTTTTGTAAAATGTGTACTATCGCCTTTCTATCGTTCAGAAGTGACTTAGAAGTGACTTCTACGCGACACGTGTATATTTCGTCTTTCTAACTCCTGGACGACAGGCGATAGAAATTTCGCCCTTTTGCTTGCAGGGTACTTAACGTATACATTTGTACTAGTAGTCTTCAATGATTTTTATAATCAAACATTTTTGTGTTTTGCCACATTCGTACGCCTGCATGTGTTGGTTCCTTTAATGACGGCCCACGAATAATTTGAGACGACAGATGTAAGCAATACAGTGTAAATGTAGTCCTCGGAATCTGTGAATAAGAATATATTCTTAGATTTTTGGTAAAGGCATGATTTAGAAAAAGTCAAGCTTATCATAAGAAGCTAAAATGAAACCTTCAAAAATTTTAGTTTGAACTTAAAAAATATATATATTACCGATTGATACAGTTTTCTGAACTGTCTTTAATAGTTTAAGACGCTCTTTGATTTGTATTTGCTCTTCGTAAAAGCAAAAAACCTTTTCCTTAAATGGGTCCCATTTACTAGATAAAATTGCTTCTTTCTTAGGGTACAATATGTTGAAAAAAATTTGTATCTATAAAGAAATAGTTAAGTAGTTTTATAATAAGTTTTAAGTAGATTTTGTTATATAAAGGGATTTAAATAGGACCAAAATATTTTTTTAATTTATTTTGTTTTTTGTTTTTTAGACATTAAAAATTAGTTCGATTTATTAATTTCGGCCAAATCCCGATACACGTGTTTACCACTTACCGAATAGTATACGTAAAAAAACTTTCAATAATATCGAAAATGAGAAAAATCACGTGAAAGAACAAAAAAAATATAATATAGAAGTAGGTGAAACGGCAGCAAAGCGTCTTTTTAGCGTCTCTTTAGTGTTTTCCTTCTCGTGCACTATACTTCTATTATCCAGTTTGCGCGGGTTTTGATTTAATTTCCTTTCATATTTTTCACTTCTTTCGCATATTTTTAATGTTTACTTACCCACCCTTATATATTAAATGATACATTATCTAAATTATCACGAAATAATAACGCGCACAACAAAGAAGAAACACATAAAGCAAAAATGCGACAAAAAAAACGTGGACATTAGCATGCCTTAATATTAAGTAAATATTGTATTTTTATTTGACTCGCCATTTTGCTGTACTTTTCACTTTTTCATAAACTTAAATGAACACTTGTCTATCAAAATCTATTAAACACTTTTACACCCGATCAGGAGAACCGCTTACTTCGAAGTGATCGCGGGGTTCGCTACAAAGAGGAGTGTCAAAATATTTCGTATATAAGTTAACACGGTCACCCAGCAACAAGAAAGTTCCCAGGCTAATCCCACATAACCAGACGGGAATAATGCAAGGCCAGCGCCACCTGCGGACATTGCACAACGACGGTGCTATGGTCAGCACAATCAGCGGGCAGTGCACTGCGACGGAAGCAGCGGCTGCCCAACTCAATGCACGAGGCGCCGGGTCAGCAGTTTCAGAGCATAGGGCTAGCTTACATTTTAAGAATTGATGTACTTAGCAAAGACCCTCGAACAGTTAACAAAAATAATAATAAAAAAAAATGTAATAAATAAAAACAGAACCAACAGCAGCAGCAGCATTAACAACATAATTAAATACGTCAACGTCGTCATACCAGGAACTGGCAGCAACAACATGAGAAAGATCAGGAGGAAGGAAACTACAACGAGCACCAGCAGCGGCAACAACATTTTAATTTAAAAAAATTAAAATTCAAACCATGTAAGTGGAGTGTTCATTGATATTTTTCTCCGACTTATGCGACCCAAAATATTAAAAAAAAGGAATTACGAATTTGAAAAATAAAACAATAATTTTTATAACTTATTCCAAGAGTCTCAGACAAAAAAAATAAAGCAGCGCAAGTTCAGACAAAATTTCATAACATTTTTGAGAAAGAAATTAAATACAAAAGGAACAAAAATTCTTTGTTCTTTTTGTTAAAGAAAATATATGAGTGATAGTGAAATATAAGACTTGTTAAACGAATTCCGAAAACTCAGAAGCGCGGAAGATTTGCAGGAAAATCCAAACAATTCAAATGACCAACGAGCAGTTAAAAGCCATTGTAGAAGGCGCAGTTGCAAGCGCCCTCGCCTTGCAGGAAAGAAGTTTTGAACAAAAATTACTTGACGTTCAAAAGCGCTTAGGTGGTGTAAATATCAGCACACCAGAAGTAGAAACATAGAGGGATGCTGAAATCATAATAAGTGTTTCGTGTAGTGAGACCCTAGATATTATGAAGTCCCTGCCGGACTTTGAGGGTAAAAATAAGACGTACGTCTCATGGAGAAAGGCGGAGCACAAAGCATATAAAGTGTACGAAAAGTACGGCGGTAGTTCCAAACACTATCAGGCACTAGGAATATTAAGAAATAAAATAAAAGGCTCAGCCGATATGGTTCTTTCGTCTTTCGACACACCTCTGAACTTTAAAGCCATAATAAACCGACTAGATTTTACATACGCAGACAAATGTCCCGTATACTTAGTAGAACAGCAGATGTCAACGCTTCGCCAAGGAAACATGACTCTCTTGCAATACTATGACGAAGTGGAGAAAAAACTGACTCTTTTAATAAACAAGACAATTATGACCTACGAGAATACCGTAGCAGCGTCAATGATCGAAAAATATAGAGCACAAAAAAATCGTTAAGCGATGTTCTTTAGCTTTAGCACAAGAAGTAGAGGCCAATCACGAGCGATATATGTTCGCAAGTATTTGCGCGTAGCACGGAGAAAAACTCCAAGGGTCCGAACAGAGACAACAGGACAGAGAAAGAAATACAATAACTGATTCTAGATCTAACCTGGAGGGAAACCCCCATTTTAATAAAAAAAACCAACACAGCCGCTCAGACAGGATCCAGTCCAGCCAATGACGTCGATAGTTCATCTCGTTTTAGACAAGCAACTCAGAATCAAAAAAGTAGTCCGTTTCAGTGGCAGACCAATCAACAAAATATTCAACGCAACGCTTACAGTAGCCATGGACTGGCACATAAAAGACCTACTAATAGTAGCGCGAGGTACACGGGGCCGAAACAGCAAAGAATAAGCCATTTGCCCTTAAACAATGACCAATGTAACAAAAACAATGACGAGTACCCTACAGTAGCCGAAGAGGAAGTAGAAGACATATATGATGACCTCGTAGAATATGACGAAATACATTTTTTGGGCATGACTCCCTGCTCCCGTTCATAGAAAGGGATGTCACAGGGAGAAAAATCAAACTTTTGATAAACACGGGGGCTTCCAAAAGTTATATCAAACCTATGAAAGAGTTAAAAAACGTTATTTTCGTAAACAACCCTTTTTTTGTAAAATCAATCCATGGGTACAACACTGTAAACAAAAAATGCATCTTAAACCTATTTAACACAACTACAACATTCTTCTTATTACCGAACTTAACAACGTTTGACGGAGTAATTGGACTGGACTTGTTAAAAAAAACCGACGTCGTACTTGACCTAAAATATAGAAAGTTAATAACTAAAAGCAATTCTGAAGCAATTAAGATTTTGAAATGTCAAAACGTTAATTTTACAAAAGTTGATGACATCGAGGTACCTCACGAAATTGTGGAAAAATTCCAGTCAATGTTAGAAAACCGCACGGATGTATTTGCAGAGCCGAATGAGGCGCTGATTTACACACTGATTTAATTGGTACTATCCGGACGGAGAATGAAGACCCAATATATTCAAAATTGTACCCATACCCGATGGGTATGTCGACTTTGTAAATACAGAAACACAGGCTGTGTTACGAGACGCCATAAACTGACCATCTCGGTCTCCATATAACAACCCGGCTTGGGTTGTAGATAAGAAAGGGACTGATGAACAGGGAAACACAAAAAAACGCCTTTTAATAGACTTTAGAAAACTTAATTTAAAAACGGTAGACGACAAATATCCTATTCCGAATGTAGTTTTCATCCTGGCCAATTTAGGCAAAGCAAAGTATTTTACCACTTTGGATTTGAAGTCTGGTTTTCACCAGATATTACTCGCCGAAAATGACAGAGAGCCTTCTCAGTAAGAAATGCGAAATACGAATTCTGTAGACTGCCCTTTAAATTGAAGAATGCACCCACCATTTTTCAGAGAGCTAGCGACGATGTGTTCAGAGAACAAATAGGGAAATCATGCTATGTCTACGTCGATGACGTAATTATTTTTTCAGAAAATATGCACGAACGAACATCTGAAACACAGCATGGGTCTTGGACAAACTATATGAGGCCAATATGAGGGTTGCGCGTGAGAAATCAAATTTTTTTAAGGAAAGCGTAGAGTATTTAGGTTTCGTAGTTTCACGAGGAGGCATAAAAACATGCCCAAACAAAGTAGATGCAATTCGTAACTACGAGCAACCAACCACACTATTCAATGTTAGATCATTCCTTGGTTTAGCAAGTTACTATAGGTGTTTTATTAAAGACTTCACGTCTATTGCAAAACTTATATGTGACATCCTAAAAGGTGATAACGGCAAAATGGGTGCTGGACAATCAAAGAAAATACCAATTAACTTTGATGAGAATCAGCGCCAGGCTTTCGAGAAGCTTAAGAATGTCCTCTCATCTGAAAATGTAATGTTATTATACCCAAATTACAAAAGAGCGTTCGACTTAACGACAGATGCTTCGTCTTTCGGTTTGGGAGCAGTCCTATCACAGAACCGAAAACCCATAACCATGATATCACTAACCTTAAAAGACAGGGAACTAAACTTTGCAACGAATGAAAGGGAGTTACTAGCAATTGTGTGGGCCCTAAGGAGCCTCAGAAATTACCTATATGGCGTGAAAAATTTGAACATTTTTACTGACCATCAACCACTCACTTTCGCCGTCTCAGATCGCAAACCAAACGCCAAAATTAAGCGATGGAAAGCTTTTATTAACGAGCATAACGCCCAAATTTTTTACAAGCCAGGAAAAGAGAATTACGTTGCTGACGCGCTGTCCCGACAGCACATCCACTCACTGGAAGAGGATGCACAGTCAGATATTGCCACAATACGTAGCGAGTTATCACTCACCTACACTATCGAAAAAACAGACAAGCCGGTCAATTGCTTTCGGAACCAAATAATAATAGTGTAATGCGGAACTGCTTCAGTTAGGACGGTCATTATGTTTGGTGAAAAGACTCGACATCTCTTGTATTTCTCGGATAGAGAAACACTTATACAGAGAGTATGCGATGTGGTCAAGAAAGATGTAGTCAATGCAATTTTATGCGAACTTCCAGTACTGGCATTTATCCAGCATAAATTAGTAGAGAAATTTCCGACAACCATTCCCGATAACCAAAGAAATTACGGCGGCTCATAGAGCCGCTCAGAAAAACGTAAAGCAGATTATGCAAGACTACTTTTTCCCCAAAATGACTTATATGGCAAATGAGGTCGTCGCTAAGTGTAAAAAAAATATGATCGACATCCTCACAAACAGATTCTCGGAGAAACACCGATTTCCTCATATACAGGCGAATTATTACATATTGACATATATACTCTACAGATAAAAAATACTTTCTTACTTGTGTAGACAAGTTATCAAAATTTTCAATTGTCCAACCAATCGCTTCCAGAACCATTGCAGACGTACAAATCGCGATCTTACAACTTATTAATTTCTATCGACGAACAAAAACAATATATTGCGACAATGAGCCTTTAAAAGAAAATTCGAAACAATTATGACCCTTCTAAGTAACCAGTTTAACATACAAATCGTTAATGCACCGCCACATCATAGTACGTCAAACGGACAAGTAGAAAGATTCCACAGTACACTGGCAGAAATTGCACGGTGCTTAAAAATCGAAAGAGGAATTAAAGACACGGTTGAACTAATACTTCTCGCGACTATAGAATATAATAAATCCATTTACTCAGTAATAAATAAACGACCCATCGATGAAATACACTCGTCGACCATTGAGCTTAACACAGAAATTAGGGATAAAGTCTTAAATGCACAGAGTATTCAAATAGAAAGATTAAACAAAACAAGACAAGACAGAAATTTTCATGTAGGAGACTGGGTCCTTGTAAAATCAAACAAGAAACTGGGGAACAAACTCTCAAACTTGTATTCTGAAGAAATTATAGAAGCAGACTTGGGGACCACAGTCTTAATAAAAGGAAGGGTGGTCCATAAGGATAACTTGAAGTAAATTAAATAAATCTTATTTTCCTTTTTTTCTCCAATACACTAGGTTTTGGAAAATAATACTTCTCGCCGTATCCATAACAGCAAAAATGACCAACTACACGACTTCAAATTACATACCAATCATGGACGGGGATGTAACTATTTGGAGAGAATTCCAATACCTAAAGCACTCAAGTAACCTAACCCTGTTCTCGGAATTAGTAAAGGAAACAGAAGAAATGAGAAACCATTTCCCTTAGTCACATATGAGACAAATATTAGATTCAGATTTACGACACATTAGGACTCTCATAAGTACAGTAAATATTCATCATTAATTTATTAAGTACTGCATTAAAAATTGTAGCCGGTACTCCAGATTTCGATGACTTCGAGAACATAAAATTTACACAGAAGGAAATCATAGAATCAGAAAACAGGCAAATAAATTTTAACACAAACCCCCAGGAACAAATAAACAGCATAACAAACGCGGTAATCATTTTGGTAAAAAATGCAAAAACAAAACAGATAAATACAGAAAATTTATATGAAAACTTGCTATCAAGAAATAGAATAATTATTTCCGAACTCAAAGCTTTGATGCTATCAGTTACACTTGCGAAAACTGGAATAATTAACCCCGCGATTTTAGACTCAAACGATTTACAAAATTTAATCAATGAACATTCTACAAATATTACTATTAATGACCTAACGGAAGTCGCCCAGATAAAAGTTCTATTAGATAATAATTTTTTACACTTTATATTAAAATACCCTAAGCCATTCATAGCATGTAAAAAAATAATCTTGCACCCCGTTGAACACAACGGGGCAACGCACACTGTTCGACTCGCACGAGCCACCTCGAGCCGCTAACAATCATCGATGACGGCGTTATTACGACGGAACAGCTACGATCAACAACTTGTAACTGGAACATTTCTGGTTACATTCGACGATGAAGCAAAAGTAAACAACACAATATACCGAAACCTAAAGAGCTACGTAAAGAAATACCCAGCGCCAGCTGCATCAACAGTCATTAACATTATGGGTCACCAAGAACTATTGAGCTTACCATACTTGCAAAAATTAAATATGGAAAACTTACGATACATTGCACACTGGGCCAGAAAGTTAATTTTTTGGCCAACAATCTGTAATTTCTTTCCTGGGGCAGTTAGAAGGATGCAGATTGAACTTTTCAATGAACTAAAAGTAAAATTTATTGGATATTTATATGGTATAGATAATCCAAGCCAAAATCGGAAAATTGTACGTACTTTTCGGGTTTTTATTTTTATAAAAAATAACTAGAAGACGCACTCAATCTATTTTCATACACGATTAAGTATGAAAGAAAGCAAATTCAAAAAAATTAACACCACTATAAAATATTATGTCGTTAAAGATTTATGAACCGTTAAAAATTGCTACTTTCGGAGGCTCCCAATTTAACGTTCATTTAATAATCGACCTAACAACATTTTCCATTTTTTTCTTCTTGTTATCTCTTTAGATTCCTATAATCAAATTATTAGAAAAAAATTGTTTGTAAAATATATATATATATTTTTTTTAATGCTTTGCTATTTATTTATTGAATCTTCTCCCTTTGGATACTAACAATAAGTGTGTCAAATCTTAGACTAATTAATCTAACTCACAGTCATATGACTGATATTGTGCTAAATAGGGGCCCGAAAGATATTGCTGGCTGGGCAGGTCGTTGCGTTGTAGACGGGATCGGCTGGAAACCCAAGTCAAGCCTCTTGCGAGGCGATTGAGGTGCACAGGGAGTTTTTCATTGTAGGACGCTTTTTGTTTGTCTATTTCATCTTTTACGGTAAGAATGCCTAGGTCCCTGTGGATGTTTTGGTTGCGAATATACCATGGTGCCCCAGTGATAGTTCGCAGGATTTTCGATTAAACGCACTGTACAATGTCTATGTTGCTGCTGCTGGCGTTCCCCCATAGCTCGAAGCCATATGTCCAGATGGGCTTGAGAGTGGAGTTGTCCAGCAAAACCTTGTAGTCCAGACGCAGGGGCGAACGAGCGTTAAGAATCCAGTGGAATCTGCTGACTTTTAGTTCTAGATGTACTTTCTTGCTTTCGATGTGTCTTCTCCAGGTTAGTCGTCTGTCGAGGTGGACGCCGAGATACGTTACATCGTTGACTTGAGGAATCTGCGTATTATTCAATGATAGTGGAGGGCATGTTTGCCTGTTGAGAACAAACGTTATGTGTTTACATTTTTGTTCATTTATTTTAATACGCCAAACAGATAGCCACCTCCTACTACGAGGAGGTACAACGTAGATGTTTTTAGCTGCTCGTTTGTGGGAATATCCGCTGTGTATAGGAGGAACAGAGTAGGCCCTAGCGCACTTCCTTGCAGGACTCCTGCTTTGATAATGTAGTCGCCGGATGTTGTTGTGTTGCACCTTACTGCGAAGGTTCTGTTGTAGAAGAAGCTTGTCAGTGTAATCAGGCAAGTGTGTTTTGATTTTGTGCATGAGGCCATTTAGCCATACTCGATCGAAGGCTTGAGATACATCGAGGAATATTGCGCTGCAGTATTCCCGATGCTCAAGGGCTGTGCGTATTTCTGATGTTATTCTGTTAACTTGTTCGATTGTTCCATGGTTTTGACGAAATCCAAATTGATGAGCAGGGATAACATTGTGTGCTCCTAGGTATGGTGTTATGCGAGTTAGAAGGCATATTTCGAACAGCTTAGACAGACACGATAATAAACTAATTGGTCTGTAGGATGACGGAATTGTGTGTTCTTTTCCGGGCCTCGGTATCATAATGATAATAGATTTTTTCCATTTTTTCGGATTGTAGCCGAGAGTTATAATCCCATTGAAGAGCTTACAAATAACCTCAATGGCAGAGTTTGGAAGTTCAATTAACATTTTTGGGGTTATTTGGTCACCGCCAGGGCCTTTTTCGGTTTCAGTTCCCCAATGACTTTCGCGATCTCCTTTGGCTGAAACAATGGTGGTAGGGAAATAGATTCAGATTCGATTTGTGGTAGGAAAAATGAACCAGTGGCAGGGCTCGGCTGAAAGACGTTTCTTAGATGTAAAGCAAAAGTTTTGGCTCTATCTTCGTCGCTGCGGGCCCAGATGCCAGATGAGTTTCTTATCGGAGTGAGTGTTTTGATTGGAGAGCTCAGATTTGGTTGAGCCCTCCACAGAGGATGTTTTGTACTGGTTGGCGATAGTTTTTTAATGTACTGCAGCTGTGCATTTTCTGTTTCTTGCTTTAGAGCTCGATTTAGTGAGCGAGTGGCTTCCTTAAGACGATGTTTTGATGACGGCGATCTGTTGGTTTGCCAGGCACGTCGCAGGCGCCTCTTTTCTAGGACTAACCGTTCAATTTGCAGATTATTTTTGAAGTGGTTGGTTTGAACGTCCCTGCCTTGTGGTGTTGAGATAGTGGCTGCCTCCACGAATACTTCTTCAAGAGCATCGGTAGAGCAGTCGATGTCCTCTTCGATGTTGAAGTGAGGGGTTAATTTGATGTGTGAGCTTACATACTTTTTATATTTTAACCAGTTGGTTCTGTGCGACGTCAGCCTGAGGAGGTGATCTGTGGTTTTTGTGCTTTGAAGAAGAGTTATTAGCACTGGCGAATGGTCTGACGACAGGTCCGAAAGCGCTTTGGCGGTTATTATATTGCGGGGAATGTTTTTTGTCACCGCAAAGTTTATTAGGTCTGGAAATTTCCTGGGGTCTGTTGGCCAGTATGTAAGGCTGCCAGGGGAAACACTGTCTAATTTGTTGTTCGGTTTTATGATTGCATTGAATAATTGCCTTCCTTTGGGAGTCACAAGGCGTGATCCCCAGTGCGTGTGTTTGGCATTATAGTCCCCTGCAGCTATAAAGCGATATCCAAGCAAGTTGTAGAAGTCCATGAATTGTCCTGCAGAAATTGTAAACCGAGGCTGGCAGTAGACAGCGGCTATGGTTAGGTTTCCGTTGCCTGACTGCACTTTGATAGACGTGGCTTGCAAGTAATTAGTTGAAAACCTTTGGTGAAATTGGTGCTTGATGCGTTCCCTGATTAGGATGCCGGTTCCGCGTGGGCTTTACCATCTGGATGGTCTGTGCGGTAGAAAGTGTAGTCTCTTATTTATTATTGTGAGGTGCGTCTCTACCAGTAGCATAATGTCGATATGATTTTCATTCAGGAACTGTGTTACTTCAAGGTTGTGCCGTAAAACGCCATTGGCGTTCCACATTGTTATTCATAGATTTGCCATCTGATTATTTGGACTGCTTAGCTGCAAGTAGCTGTAACACCATGTTCTGGTTTTGAACCAGTGTTTGCATGGTCGTTTTCATGAATGACATGAGTTCCATCATACTTTGTTGCATGGTGACCATTATAATTTCCAGAGTGCTTTGCGACTGTAGTTGGATCTGCTGAGCGTTTCCTAGATTGTAAAATATTGTTTTTTAATTTGTTTAATGTTTGTTAGACATATTTTGAAGTCATCACAAAAGTATGCTGCAAGAAATGCAGCATACCTTTAGGCATACTTAAGTCCTCCCTTATGAATGACATAAATTGTGAACATTTTTTAGAGACGAGCCAAAAAAGTTGATATTTCTCTTTTCGAAATATCGATATTTCATTCGATTGTTTGGTTTCAGAAATAAAAGAAGCGGGAATGAATGAAAAAAGTAGATTTTAGATGTTAGGCAAACTAAAATCAAATATTGGCGCGCAAAACGTACATTAAAACGTCAAGGAAAAAAATACGGCATACTTTGGGGCATTCTTAAAAAAGCTCATCAAAATGGTTCGACTTAAAATTAAGCCTTCAATTAAAACATAAATTACTGAAAACTAAGGCAAAACCGCATCGAGTCGGCGATGAGCGATTTTAGTAAATGAATCAAAGAATTTATTTTTGATGTGATGACTCCATTTGGGGATGGCACTCAAAAGCACTCGAAAAGCAAAGTATTCATTTGCTAAAAAAGCAGTAAAAATCAACGAAAAAGTTTGTTTTAGGAAACAAGTAAGACATACGAGCTATTTAATATTTTTAACTTGTTGAGCTACATCAGCATCTTTGACTTCTAGAACTTTTTTCATTTCCATCAATATTTGATGAATTTTTTACTTTAAAAATGGTAAAACAAAACTACTTGCCCGAGTTTTTTGAAACTGTGGCATAAATTAGTTTAATGTATAATAAAACGGACTCCATACTCGGTCTGGTCATTTTTGGCCAGAAATCGGATCGGTAGGCCCAGTGTGCATTGCACTGTGGGCCAGAAAGTTCATTTTTTGGCCAAAAATCTGTAATTTCTTTCCTGGGATAGTTAGAAGGATGCAGTTTTTTGCATTTATCTCTTAAAAGATTGAACTTTTCAACGAACTAAAAGTAAAATTTATTGGAATTTTATATGGTATAGATAATCCAAACCAAAATCGGAAAATTTTACATACTTTTCGGTTTTTTATTTTTAAAAAAATAACTAGAAGACGCACTCAATCCATTTTCATACACGATTAAGTATGGGAGAA